CCACCAAAATCCCTCCCAACCCCCCCAAAAATCCTCCCCAACCCCCCCAAGATGTGACCTCCTGGGCTTGGGCTCCTCTTGTGTCTCCACTTGGGAGATGATGGATCTTCTGGGCTTCCCAACCACCACTTCTGAGCAGGATTAATTGGTCTGTTGTCAAGTCCTCATTAAGAGAAGACTAATTACCCCCCTCAGAAGCCCCAACCACCCCCACCCACCTCATTTTTCACCCCCTTTCTCCACCCCAAGACCTTTGGGTGGGTTGACCAACCACCTTCTACTCAACCCCCAACCAGGAAAGGTCCATCTCATCTTCATTATCTTAATGATCTCCATCCTGGAAGCCAAAAAAAAAGCCCTTTTGAGGTGGATTTGGGGAATTCCACCACCCCCCACCCCATCCCCCTCCACCCACGTGGATCTTCTTTCTCCCCTGTTGCTTTTTATGGGTCTTGGAGCTCAACCAAGAGTCATTTGAGACCTTGGCTGGAGCCTCCAGGTCCTTTCAGGAGAGTTCAGAGCAGCTGCTCAACACAAACATGGACTTTAGCACCTCCAAAAACCACCCAACAACCCCCAATTTTCTTCTCCTGCCTCCCAAAATTATAAATAATTAAAAATATCAATAAAAAGAAGGTTGGGGAGGGATTTTGAGAGACTTTAGCACCTCCAAAAACCACCCAACAACCCCTAATTTTCTTCTCCTGCCTAAAATAATTATAAATAATTAAAAATATCAACAGAAAGAAGGTTGGGGAGGGATTTTGAGAGACTTTAGCACCTCCAAAAACCACCCAACACCCCCCAATTTTCTTCTCCTGCCTAAAATAATTATAAATAATTAAAAATAACAACAGAAAGAAGGTTGGGGAGGGATTTTGAGAGACTTTAGCACCTCCAAAAACCACCCAACAACCCCTAATTTTCTTCTCCTGCCTAAAATAATTATAAATAATTTAAAATATCAATAAAAAAAGAAGGTTGGGGAGGGATTTTGAGAGACTTTAGCACCTCCAAAAACCACCCAAC